AAATATTCTGATAGTTTCCAAATTGATTGATATTTGTTTCGTAAATCAGATGAAATCAATTTTTTTAAAAGGAGAACATGGCCGCCAAATATTACCTGACCTTTGCACTTGGTTTAGACTTACATCATGATATCTGCGTTATTAACTAAATAAACCGGGTAATATCTGAATGTCTAAACCATAAAAACAACAATGGTTCGGGTACTTCATGGCGTAGACAATATTGACTACCCACAGCTTCCATTTCGAACTGCTATAGCATTTCTTGGAAAAGGTATTGGACCATCTGTCTATAACTCGGAGATGAGGTATTATGATTACTTCCATTAGTTACATTATTCGGACTGTGATCCTCATCTTCATTGACATATTCACAACGTTTCGGCCGTTGTACGCTCCGGCCTTCTTCAGGTGATTGGAATTTCGAATCGAACCATTTATTTCGTCCACCGGAGTAGATTGTTCTAGTTCCACGTGCCATGCCTCTTTCGGGTGTCTCAGTTATTTCCCTTTAACTCAACTCTCCAGTGGAAAAAGACGTTGGTTAGATTCAGTCACTAGACCCAAAGAGTTGTGAGTTCAGTATCAGGTCACAGCAGTAGTGAATCAATACTTGAAGAGTTGAGTTAAAAAAAAAATTCAATGCAATGTCAATCGTTATCTTCTGTCTTCCTAATTCATGTTCTTCTATTATCCTCTATCCTTAAGTTTTTTTCTCATATTCTCTAACACTCAGTAACCACGTGCGTCCTAGTGGCTTTATTGCCTTGCATGGGGTGAAATGATTAACAAACAAAAAGGAATACAACACTTATTAAAAAGTGGAAACCTTCTAGAATCACATGATACAACTCATGACCAAAAATCACCTAAAAGGCTACATAAGTATACAAACCCTTCTGGTCACAACTGGTCTGACTCCAGTTGTCCACTAAAGAATGAGTAAAACCCTTAAATTATAGGATTACATCGAACAAAACAAAAAGGGATTTTAAGAGAATATGGATTGAAAGAATGGTTGCTGAAAAAAAGCAGGGGATCCCAGAGAAGGTGACATTAACAATATATTCAAATGGACACTACTCAAACTTGGATGTTTAAACCGAGCTACCGATAACCGTGAACTCTGTAGTGAATTGGGTCATGTGAGTGCACATTCAGCTAAAGGGGAGAATGTGTTCTCTGATGATGTCTATGTGTTTATCGATCAGCATGTGAATCAGTGAATTGATACATCTTAATATCTATTCTTTCGAGTTGCATATCAATAAATACATTTATAAGAACATGTGTTAATCTCAACATCTAATTATTTGTGGCGATACGTTAAGCTCTTGATTGATTAGTATTGAAGAAGTGAGTGATCGCGTGGGTCATGTGAAAAAAAAAAGAATTGTCGCATCAGTTCTTCCTGGTTGCTAATCAAAGCAACAATACCTAGTTAAATCGTTTTTATCGAAATAATGTTGATCGATAGATGAAGTAATTTCGTTGACTTCAGGTATTTGAAGCGGTTCCTGATGGGAAATTCTTAATTGTAATTGCAAATTCTCTTTGATTATATAGGTTCTCATTTCTCTGCTTAGTATTATTTTTTGTCCGCCATTTTGAAACCTTTTTCACTTTTTTTTTTTACTTGTTTGTGTTTTATTTCTTTTTCTTTTTGTTCTTTTCTTAAATATTTATCGACATTTTTTACCGATTTTAGATTTTATTCTTTCATTTTTTTGTTCCTTTTTCTCTTTTTTGTTACTTTTTTTTCCTTTTTTTGTAATCCTTTTTTCTTTGTTCTTTCCTTTTTTTAATTCCTTTCTTTCTTATATTATTTTTTTTTTCTTTTGCCTTTCTTTCTTTTTCTTATATTTACTTTCTTTCTCTCCCACTTTCTTTTCTCCCCTTATTCCTTTTCTTTTCATTCTTTATTCTGTTTTCTTTCTCTCAATTTCCTCTTCTTTTTCCTGTCTTTCTTTTTTTGTCTCATATTTACTTCTTTTCTCTCTCACTTTCATTCTTTCCCTTATTCCTCTCCTTTTCATTCCTTTTTCCTGTCTTTCTTTCTTTTTGTCATATTTATTTCCTTTCTCTCTCACTTTCATTCTTTTCTTTATTCCTCTCGTTTTTCATTCTTTTTTTCTGTCTTATCTTTCCTTTCGCATTTACTACTTTTCTTTTCTGTTTGTCTCTTTCTACCTTTCTTTCCTTTCTTTAATCCCGTTTTATTTACCATTTTTCTTTTTTTCTTTTTTCCTTTCTGCTATCATCAGTGACTCCAATGCTTTATTCTTCTCTTGTGTTTACATTCTTTCTTTTTTTCTTTCTTTCTTTTTTCTTTCTTTCTTTTTTCTCTCTTTTTCTTTCTTTCTTTTTCTTTCTTTCTTTTTTCTTTCTAACTGTTTATTGTAAATATTCTTTAAAATTTCCTAAATTCTATTCTTATTTTTCTCGTTTTCTTTAAACTTTTCATGCTGTCTTCTTCCTATCTTCATTTATCTCTTTTTCATTCATCCTTTCTCCCTTTTTTTCAATCTCTCTGCAAGACTTCCCACGTTCTATAACTGCTTTCATTTTAATCTCTTTCTTCTCTTCTTCCCCCGTGTGTTCCTTCTTTCTTTAGCATTTTATACAGTTTTATCCCTTTCTTCTTTTATCATTTTCTCTTTCTTTCTTTCTTTCTTTCTTTCTTTCTTTCTTTCTTTCCTTTTCTTTTCTTTCAATCTTTTCTAAAATCTTCCCACGTTTTATTAGTTATTTCCCATTTTTAATCTCTTTTTCCTTCCTTTCTTTTTCAAATCTGTCTTTCTCTTTTATGTTCTCTCCATTTTTATTACTTTTTTCTTTTTTCTTTTTTTCATCTCATTTTTATACATAACTTCTTTAATTCTCTTTTTTGCACGACTTCTCATTCTTTCTCATTTCTTAGTTCCCTTTCATTTTTTTTAAAATTTCTCTTTCGGTTCATCTCCTTTCTTTTACAGTCTTTACCTTTCTTTGATTTTCTCTCTCTCTCTCTCTCTCTCTCCCGCTCCCACCTTCCCGCCGTCTTTCTTTCTCTGCGTTTACCCTACAACAGAATACGATGACTTGAAAAAATGTCCGAAATTCTTTCCAGTACAATTGCATTTATCAACTTGCGTTTTCCAAGACGATAAAAACTGAAGCCGAAAGAAAGATTAAGAAAAAAAAAAAATGAAAAATATTTCCTAAGCCACAACAAGCAAGAAACATAGAAGAAAAAATCTTTTGACAACCATAACAGTCGCCATGGTAACGAAAACCGCCGTTCTGCGTACTTTTTAGCAAATGGAATCAAAAGTAAAGCCTCTTAAAGACTCATTTTCATTTGAAATCCAATCTGGAGGAATTTAAAAAACAGGTTTAAAAAGGAAAAAAGAAACTAAATCATTCAACTCTTTCAATTTCTCTTTATTCTGCGCATATTCAATTGTTTTTATTTTATTTTTATTTTTTCCTTCCGGCTTTCTGTGCTCCCATCCTTTCTTTGCTTTTCAATTGGCCACTTTAACTAAACAATTGTCTTTCACGTTTCCATAAATCTTTTCTTTTTTTTTATTTTTCGCATTTTCGTTTCGGCCGTTTCTTTTCGTTTCTTTATTTCATTTTTTTTTCAGTTATTTCCTTTTATCTTCTGTTCAACTTTGTAACTTCGTCATTTTCTCTTTTGTCTCCTCTATCTTTAGATCCTTTCTTCCTTTCTTTCCTTTTTTCTTTCTTTTACATCTTTCTATTCTTCCTTTCTTTCCTTTTTTTTCTTTCTATTACATCTTTCTATTCTTCCTTTCTTTCCTTTTTTTTCTTTCTATTACATCTTTCTTTCCTTTCTTTCCTTTTTATTACATCTTTCTATTCTTCCTGTTTTTCTTTTCCTTACCTTCTTTACATTCTTTCTTTCTATACTCGATATGTTTTCTTTCTTTCATCTGTATTGTTTAATTTTTTATTATTTATTTATACAGTTTTTCTTTCTTTTTATTTTTTTCTTCGATTTTTTATTTCTTTCGAGTCCTCATATTATCTGTTTACTTTTATTTCAATTTTTCTTCTTCACTCTTTCTTTTTTCTTTCTTTCTTTCTTTCTTCCTATTTACTCAGCTTAATGGTGCAGAGCCAAATAAGAAAGAGATTCACGCTAGAAAGAATATATTGCGAATATTTGTCGAAAGTGTAAAGCAACATTCGAATCTTGACCTACTCGAACACGGACCTTACGCTCGCAAGAGTGGAAATTGCGCAACTATCTTGGCTACGACGCAGCTTCTTTCTTTCTTTTATTTCTTTTTCCATCTATAGACGTTGATTTCTTCGTATTCAGTATCTTTTTTGTCTTTATTTCTTCGCTTTCTACAATTTTGCAGGACGCTTTATATTTGCATCTCCTCTTTCTTTTTCTTTCTTTCTCTTTCTTTCTTTCTTTTCTTTCTTTCTTTTTTTTACCTTTTTTTACCTTTCTTTTCTTTTCTTTTTTCTTTCTTTCTTTCTTTCTTTCTTTCTTTCTTTTCTTTCTCTTTCTTTCTTTCTACCTTTCTTTCTTTCTTTCTCTTTCTTCCTCTTTCTTTCTACCTTTCTTTCTACCTTTCTTTCTTTTTTCTTTCTTTCGCTTTCTTTCTACCTTTTTCTACCTTTCTTTCTTTCTTTCTTTCTACCTTTCATTCTTTCTCTTTCTTTCTTTCTTTCTCTTTCTTTCTTTCTTTCTACCTTTCTTTCTTTTTTTTTCTTTCTTTCTCTTTCTTTATTTCTTTTTTCTTTCTCTTTCTTTCTTTCTTTCTTTCTTTACCTCTCTTTCTACCTTTCTTTCTTTCTTATGTCGTTCCCTTCATTTGTTTTTATGTCTGATCTATTTTTCTATTTGTTTGCTCGCTTTTTATTCGCTTGTGGCTTTCCGTCCTTTCGTCTTTCTGCTTTCCTCAATGCCGTCTTCACTTCAAACTTTGTGTTTCATTAATTCATTTTTTTTTCTTTCATAATCTTCTTGTTTGGGATTTTTAAAATCCGTCCGTGTATTTTATACTACCCCATCGCCATGGAAAGTAATCGTTTGACGTTTGATGTGAACGGCAAAGGGAATTGAAAAGTAGAACCGGAGAAGAAAGGGCAGAGAAAATGAACGGAAAAAAAAATAAAAATAAACGAGACAGAACAGAATTAATTTGAAGAAGAAAAAAATAAATAAATCTAGGAAATAAATTTAAGAGGAAAGAATTAAGAAATGAGTCAATTCACGTAATTACTTTAGATAAATTGAAGGAAGGCCAAAGAGGGAGGGAAAGAAACAAGAAAGAATGACGAAAAAGTTGGGAAGAAAAGAGCAAAAAAAAGAGTGAATAGAAAGAAAGGAAGAAAATAAAAAGCGGGAAGTATAAAAGGGGAATATGCTATAGAATTTGCAAAGAAAAAAGATTGAAAGAAAACAAAGAATGAAGAAAACGAGTCTACGGACAAATAAAAGTCAAAAAGAATAAAAGAAGAAATTAATTTTAAAAAGGAAGTAAGTAAGGAAGGAATTGTTATCCAGTTTGATTCAATGATGTGTATGTGTTCAACAAAAGGAAATAACGCATTTAATATGAAGCAATTCTTTGCCTCATTGACATTCATCAAGGTCATATTGTTCTTATTACAATTTCAGTTTAACGAGTAGTTATTTATTAAGTATGACACAAAGTATCAATCGAGAGTGATCCAGTATTAGGCGAAATCACTGTAGTAGTTATATTAGAGGTAAAAGCTTGAAAACCATTAAAATTTACATCAATTTAAAAAGGCGTGTTGTTGTGTTATTCTCTGGTTAGAAGTAGATATTTAACATACTCCAAGCACAAATGTAAAGCAACGTAAGGACCGAACTGATTTTTTTATAAATATTTTATAGTTTTATAAATATTCTCCCACAGAGTGACACCAAATTGACAATTTTCAAAAGCTTCAACCATTTTCATCACTATTACGTCAGGAATACAATGACCGGTATTGTACAATTAAACCCGTTAAAACCTGTAACGTCTTGTTCGTGTCTGTGTCAGTAAAAGATAATTTAAATGATAAAGTTAGCTACACTATTGTCCTCATCTTTGACGCCATATTTATTAAAATGTTTCGGCCGTCATAATCTTCGGCCTTCTTCAGGTGGTTGGAATGCCGAACTGAATCCTTTATTTCGCTCACTGGAGTAGACTGTTCTAGTTCCATGTGCCATGTTTAATGGATGTCAGTTATCTGTTATCTCTTGTTAATTCCCCTCTCCAAGATCTCCACTGCCTTAACCGGGTATTGAACTCACACTCTTAAAAAATAATAAAGTGTGCTGTTTCCAGATATGAAAAATTCTGAATTCATTGACCGAAGAGTATTTCTGTCGGTTGTAATCAGCAAAATCTTTTCTTTTTTAAACTTTTTTCGAGAAATTAACTTTCTGAAATCAGCAAAATTTCTCTTATATTAATGAGAATTTTCTTCCAACCTTTTCTGTTCTCGGTTGTGTGCAAAGTTAGCATCTTGATTAAACTAGCGTGCAAATGTTTTAGGACAACTACATAAAATCATTATACACCATTATTTTCTTAAGAAGTTAAACTTGAACCTTCAAGATTAGAAAATAATGTGTTATATTTTCTTAGGCACCGTATGATAAAAAACACAGTGCTTCAAGCAGCTTGAAGCTGAAAAAACACCATGCAAAATTATTGGGCCAACGAAAGATCTGAGCTGATAAAGTCATATTAATTTGAAAATTTCTAAGTATGAACTATTTCTTCTTATTAATATCAGTGTAAGATACCTTGCTTGCTTTTTTTACGCTCGTGTCAAGGCTAACATTTATGTTAAAACAAAGATGAAGGTTGTGAATTTAAAGAGACACTCAACTAGATATAGACAGGCGATTCAGAATCTCCAGAAACAGTGTTCAAACCATCCAGAAGACGTTTACTAATACTGGAAATGTTTTAAGTGCAAAGAAAACCGGAAGACATCAATTGTTAGATAAGAGATAAAGAAAGATTGTTATAGCGTCTGTAGGCAATCCAGAATTAACAGCCAGACAAGTGGGGCAGGAATGCTGTCTTAACAGTGAAGTTTCAGTTGATGCAGTGGAGCAGAGTAATACGAAAAAACAACTTGAACATTCATATAACGGCAAAAACATCATTAATCAAAACACATGGGAATAGAAGTTTGAATTGGTCAAAAGAACATCTAACATCGGTTTCTGGAAAGTAGAAAAGAGTAATTTTAGTGATAAATGTAAAAATAGTTACATTCTAATGCATAGGTTTCTTTTGGATGAAGATGTTTAAAATTTGGAAGACTCGGCTCCACAAAGTTCTGATCTCAATATAATTGAAACATTGTGGTGGGAAATGAAGAAACAAGTGCTCCTACGAAAAACATGCAATCTCCAATCTCCATGCAATCCACCAAACCCCTTAGAGAATGGGAATGGGAAAATTAAACCTTGTTCCATTTAATACTACATCGAATTGTGACAATTATTCGAGTCAAAGGCAACAACATTAATAACAGGCTCTATACTTGGAAGTTTTGTAATTTCTGTAATTATAAAGATCATTTTCTGCAAAAAAAAGCATCTTTTTTAACTTAAGAAAAGGACCGAAAGATAAAATTTTCTTTTGTGGCCCAGTATTTTTATATAGCTTTGTTTTACATTGCCATCTCTGTTTAAGATCCTCTGCCATCCATCAAAAGGCATTAACAAAAATCCAGTAAAGGATCCAATTTAAAACAGAATAAAAATGTAACGGCTTCGACCATGGAACATATATATCAAGAACGTAAATGCGATAGCCCCCCAACAAAAAGGAAACTGCAAAACGCCTCTAAAAATACTTATCATGAAAGTAAAAATAACCTTCAAAATATTAGTTATGAACACTGCCACAAGGTACTGGATTCATTCTAAGATTAAAAACATCTTGGGATCTCAGCAACTTATATACCGTTAACAATAGTATACACCATTTAAGTCCTCGGTATGATGATAAACTACATCCGGCAGATCGGGAGATTAAAGGTTTTCTGGCCCTCACATATGAAAAATGCATCCTTCTAATCGCTATTAATTTTCCCCCTAAAATTATAATTTTCCAAGGAGGAACCAAAAATAAAAGGTGGAAATCTTTTAGATCACCTTACTTTCTATTCTAGACATCGGTTTGCTATTTCTGTTGTTACTACTTTTCGAAATTTTCAATGTTGTGATTGTGTAGCGTCAGTCTATGGGGTCTGATGAAGTGTTGTCTTTTTACAGATTGATAGGATTTATTCCGTCGAAGTCATTTCGTGTAATAACGTAAATATGTAGACAAAATTGTATTAAATCTTTCGATCCTAGTGGGATATGTACGTCCTATCAGTTTTTTTTTTATTGGTGAACATAGACTTAAGAAAATAAAATATGCAGTTGCCATCATGTTGATGGCAGACACAAAACTAAAACTGCCCCAATGGAGATGTCAAAATGAAGCAAGAACAGAATTTTAACTATCGGAGAATTGTTATAGCAGATGAGGAAATATGTGACACAAAAATCTGAAGGTGCATTAGAATAGCAAAATATGTGTTCCAAAAGATAAAGAAAAGCTTACGAAACACAACAATTCTATGTAATATTAATTCTCCATAAAAGACTGAAGCAATACTGAAAACCAACCATTTTTTTCAGCCGCTATGGTGATGGATTGTACGTATGAGTTTCACTTGAGATCTGGATGGAGCTTAAGTTCCAATAGGCGCTCAATATACGTATCCTCCCAACTGGGGGAATATCCGTTGATCATGATTGGTGAATTTTTATGGATCCATCGGTGATGATTGAATGACAATAGTTTGGTTATCAGTAATTTGTATTGAAAAAAAAACAGATTTAAAAACCTGTGCTTACTGAAGTTCTAATGTACTCATTAAGTAGTTTTAATAGAGTCAGATAGAAAAGGTTAAAATATCATATTTTGCCAATTTTTCCGTTAACCTAGTGAGTAAATATTTCTAAAAAGTGTGTTAAACTTTTAAAATGTTGCAAACGGAAGTGTTCTTATTAAAATCAAGGTCCCCCTGCAGTTGAACATAAAGCTCACTGTATATAAAAAGGAAGCTACCCCTACTGTTGGACATAAAAGGGTCTAATATGACCAGTATTTCCTTTTATGTGTAGTTTTCCAACTGATTAATGGTGAAAGTGTTTAAGGTATATCTAAGTTGGGTTGATCAACTGGTACAGAAAAAATGGCGCCATCAATGTATTGCGTTAATTCCTTGTAGTATACTGGGGTAGTAGTAGTAGTAACACTACTACCGAAACCACCACCAACAACAACAACAAAAGCAACATCAATAATAATGATGATGATGTTTCAGTAAATAATAATATTAAAAATTCAGGCTTGAAAACTGTAAAATTACGTCAATTACTTTATTATATTCTCTTCAAACATAAAGCAATTGACGTAATTTTTCAGTTGACCATATGAATATACAATAGCGTTTCTGAATTCTTCTTTTTGGTAACGCCATTTTGTTCCTTGTTTGTAGATACTTTCAATAAATTCATTTCGTTTTCTGCCTTGAAAAAGTCCACATTGGACGAAACGCGTCGCTAAAACTACAATTTTCCTATTGTCTTTTTTCCTTTATATATATATATATATATATATATATATATATATATATATATATATATATATTATACATACGTAATTACACATGAAACACATATATACACATATATTTTTATGTATGTGCTTTTGAAAACACATCTTTCCTGATTCTCGAAATATACGTCTAGGATCTGTTTGGGTCCTAACGTAAACAAAGATAACTTTTAAAGAAAATAGATTAAATCTGAAAATTTTTAATTTATTTGTTTAAACGTTATTTTTAAATGGATACTCATATTTGAGTAGATGCTCTGTTATTATTTATTTATTAAACATTATATTGATTTATTTACATCTACCGGCCTGAATATTCGAGAAATCTTGTTAGAAAAATATACGTGCACATGCGCAATATGTATTAACTCGTACACTCACTTATACTCAGAGAGTATCACTAGAAAAAGTTAACCGTTAATAATTCATTCAAAATGTCCCTCTTAAAAATCAAATTCTCCTTCGTGGGGCGTGGGCCTCATGTTGGGAAACACGGTGCCAGATGGAAGTGATAGTCTGAGGCAAATATTTACACGAGTGAAGGACGATTTTTTTAGATTTCTTTTAAAGAATGCTGTCGTTAGTTTGACAAACCATTTTTTCTGTAATAAATCAGATCTTCTCTCAATACGAGCAGCCTTGTGCCAGGCTAACCATAACCAGATAATTAAAATGAATGATAATGATCTTGCTGAGTGAACAATGATTCTTGTACACACACCGGGGTCCCTTAATAAACATGTAGAAGAAAGGAAGGAGAGAAATTAATCGTAAAAGAGAGAGAATAGCAGAAAATCGTGAAGAGATAGAACTTGGGAATGATTGCGAAAGTAATCAAAAGGAAAAGCGGAACGGAAGAAAGATGCCTTGCTAAGGGATGCGTTGAAGTAATTTGCCAGAAAAACTCTTGTAAATATTTGAGGAGCCGCTAGGAACAATCGAGAAATTCGTCAACAGATCGCAATTCCTGATTTTTCTGTTGTGCAAGAGACAAAGCAAAGCTTTGGCGGATGGGGCCAGAAACGGTGATCTAAAAGGCAAATGTAATTACTCTGAGCCACGCACCTCTGTGATTATAGCGCGCTGCTTAGAGGCAGACAACCCCATACGATTTCCCGTGTATGACCCCGAATAGAGTGCAGGTGGTTATGTGTGCGTTCAACAAGGACTGAAATTACGGACGCGTGAGTTCATGACTGACTAAATGCACGTATGTTGACGTCTAACCACACAAGATGACAGATTCAGCTCACAAAACGCTTCCGTTTCGTGCGCTTACCTACGTCAATGCCAACGTAATGCAAGAATAAGAAACATTCAATTTTAAGAACAGGAACTCAAATCATTATATATATATATATATATATATATATATCCCTGTATTCGTCCCTTCAAAAAGTGTGGATGGTCCTGCACGAGGCCTTCACCACTATAATCAAATCTTATTTGCCAGTGGCGGGCTGTCGGTTTCCTGGAAACTGATCTGCTTGACCCCCATACGTCGAATCTCGACGGGAGAACGATTATATATTAAATAAATAAACAAGTTTTAAGGTACAATTTTGAATCATCGCCATGAGAACGCGAACTTCATAACGGGCAGAACGCGTTTGCATCTGAAGATTACAAGAGCTTGTATATTCACTAATATTTGAAAATATTTTTTGTAGATATAAAAATTTAATAACAGAAATAAAAGTGTGAAGCTTAATATTACTAGCTCCAATCGGTTGTGAACTGGGGCAGGAATTGGCTGGTCAACTTTAATGCCTCAAAAACAAAACTGCTCTCTATTAATCACCACAGAGATCCTTCCCTGCCATCCATTAGAATGTCTGACGCTCAACTTCTCGAGAGGACCTCTCTGCGGCTGTTCGGTCTCACGTTGACTATTGCTTCGTCCACCGCAAGGAAAGTTGGCTCCCTGTGCCGCGCCAGGAAATTTTTCTCCCCGGAATCGATCCTTCAGATCTACAAATCAACAATTCGCCCTTGCATGGAGTATTGCTGCCATATATGGGCTGGAGCCCCTTCTGTTTGCCTCGGGGTTCTCGATAAGATCCAGAGGCGGATATGCAATATTTGGCCCTGATATGGCATTTCGTCTACAGTCGCTCTCTCACAGACGCACCGTCGCCTCTCTGTGTCTTTTTTACAAATACTTTCATGGTAATTGTTCCGAGGAGCTGCATTCGCTGGTTCCCAGACTTCATGAATTCAAGCGCCCTACGAGGCTGGCATCCCGCTCTCACCCTTTCACTGTCGAAACTATTAAATGTAGCCGTCTTTTCTACTCCAATAGCTTCATATCTCTCACCTCTCGCCTGTGGAACTCCCTTCCCTTTTCCTGTTTCCCTGATAGCTCTAATTTCCAACTATTCAAATGACTTTTTACAAAAATGTATTGCTGGTATTCAAACCTATGTTTACACTTTCATAGTGTTTTGACCCAATTTTGGGAGTCAACTATTTTCCCAGAGCTGGGAGCCTAACAGGTGTTACCACCCCGGTTCAGGATGGACCTGGGAACACCAGCAATTAAGAGGTGGTTCTTCGCTCCTCGACCTGATCAGAGTCCTTGCTTCTGGATGTAGTTTATTGCCATACCCATACTCAAGATGCTATATATATATATATAATAATTATTATTATTTTCGATTGTTGCAAAATGATTTGATGAGAAAGATCTTACTCTAATGAAAACCAGATTCAAAAGTTTTTTCGAAATTTTTTCATGAACCACATTTGAGAAATAAGAACGGAAATTATTCCATTGATCATATATATATATATATATATATATATATATATATATATATA